GGGGGGGGGGGGGGGGGGACAGCGTTTGGTCGATCGTTAATCGTCGCTGCACAGCTTTCCCTCGGAAAGCACCGTGTTCTTTTTTATCTAACCATCACTGTGTAGAATGGTTCCTGTTGGCGACGTGTGATGTATGACGAGCGCGCGTTTCCGCTGCTGATTTGAAGTAATGCACATTGATACGAGCTCGAAATTGGAATTTTGCGTGGCGCCCGAGTTCATGCTTTTACTTACGAATCCCGGACGTCCGAAATATAAAGATCTTGAACAAGAAACACGAAAAGGATGTAGTGTCAGTGAGGATCGCCTCTACGTTACCGACATCTGTCGAGTTCGTCATTCACTTTGGCGTCCCCATAAAAATGCACAGCGCGAGTCAATAAGCGCGTTTTCCACGCGTCACGCGTTTGGCTTCGCGAGTTTGGCAGTTCAGTTCCGCGGTTCTCGAAGGCTGAACATCGCGGTATCTCATTTCCCGCGGAACGCGCAATTTTCATCGCGTCGATATTTCAACATCGTTTTCTCCTCCCGTTCTTTTCTTCCCTTTTTTTCTTTTTAATCCTCCCGGGGACACGCCTCCTATTGTTGCGTCGTTCGGGATATTTTCCAGTTTTCATGAGAGAAATGAATGTCAAGTGTTTTCCCCCGTTTTGCGTGCACGCAGGAAAAAAAAAGAGAGGGGAGAAATGCAGTGAGATTTTTTAATATCCCCTTTCCTCTCGCTTCGTGCCACCTCTAACACCGCTGCGTTATTTGTCGGAAAAGAGTGGAATTGTTTCGAGCGCAATGAAGTTCGCGATAATACCTCCTCTTTTACGCGAGCGAGAACGAGAAAGCAAGAAAGTGAAAGAGAAAAAAAGAGAGAGGAATAAAGTTTATTGTTTCGAACGTTCTGCATTTGCAGAATATTAATTCTCCAAATTTTATATATATATACAATGTATATATATGTATATTTATGTATTATGTATATAATATATAAATCTATGTATATATATCCACCTTTCGATTTTAACAATTTATGAATTGTTACGTTGCTCAATTCGTAGCAAGCAGACGGGGAGAAGCCATTATTATTATTATTGTTGTTGTTATTATTATTTGCGAAAGCAACTCACCCGCCTACAAGCCGCTACTGCCATTGATTTATTATTAAACTCGCGCTCTGCGGCACTCAACAATGAGTTATGGTCGCGATAAAACACGACGTGTAAAAATGTACACTCACACGCGCACGTTTAAGGGTTGCGCGAGCAACGGCAACAACCCCGCGCGTTCTTGAGGTCCACTCGTCGCCGACATCGTCGTCGTCGTCGTGAGCAACGAAGCGACGTTGGTAATTGCTCGGCCACGTATAATCATGCGAAGCACAAATCCGCAATGTAATCCGCGCTGTCGCGCCGACGAATCGCGTCACGTCGCGGCGAGAGCGCGAGGAACGCTTCCGCACTGAAAATAGGATCTTGTTGGCGGAACGAAACTTTGGTATATCGGATTAAGGCTCTTGGTGCCTCGCCGCGGAGCTCCCGATTGATGACGCCAGCGGCGAGAAAATGCACGATAAAAATTCTTGCCAAATTACGTTCAAGTAAACAGATGCATTTACAAAATGAAACTCGATGACAATCGATCGTGTCAAGTGTGTAAAATAGTCCCGACAAACGATTAATAAATAGCTGTAAAATTGACGTAAATAATCATGAGAGAAGGTAGGTTAAAGAAGGATGTGTTTGCATGCCGTATTAATTTTACAATTATTTATAATTGTTAGAACAAAAGGTAAGTGTTCGTTTCACATATCTGCTCGATCGATTGCGAGTGTTATTTCATAGATATATCATTTTTGTTTATACGAATCTTGCAAAATTCTTAACATATTTTCTCGCTCTTCTGACGTCATTAATCATGGCCGCGGCGAGCCTCAATTTGGTTGAAACCAAAAAATGTGATTAGCGCTACGTACGTTTCGCTTTCTCAATAATGCATATACTTAACATGAAAAACAGAAATGTAAAGTCGGATACACTGTAAACAATTTTATGTTGAATTTAACACATTTAATGTCCTACTTTGTTTATTTCAACTTTCTTATTAATTTAACGCAAGGCCAATTGCAAACAAATAATACATACAATATGTCGGAAATTAACACAAAAATGTCACATGTGGAAACTATTGTGCCATTTCGAGAAATTTAGAAATAGTGATTACGAGTTCAACGCGGAACGACATAACGACATGTTAAATCAACACACACGGATATGCGAAAAATCCAACACGAAAAAGCTTCTACGCAAATCGATTTCAACACGAAATATTTTCTATCGTACCGAATATTTCAGTTCCAAGTACAGAAAGAATGTTTTCAGTGTGGGAGCGTGCGCGGGGATTAACGCCGCCTGGGAGGCGAGGGCGCCGTTTAAAACGGGGTTGTCAGCGGGCATAATCGGCGCCAATCGGGCGATTATCGTCGATACTTCGACGCTTGACTCCTCGGGGAGCTCCGGTTCGGAAACCACTGCTGGTCCCGCGGACGTCGTCGACGTCGACGGGACAAATCCTCCCGGACATCGGTCGACTAACGGGTATATAGGTTGACGCGGGGATCTCGCCTTTTCTTTTTTTTTCTGTTCGTTTTCTCGCAGAAAATCCGTGGCGCAGCGGGTATTAATTCGTAAAACGCTCCCGGAGTGTCGAGGAAATCCCCGCGTGCGCCCAAGGGGCAACCTCGACGGCGAGTAATAGCTTTTCACGAGTGTTCTATATGCGACTCCCATCGTCGTTAATTACTTCGCGATATCGCGGCATAAATTGGAGGCTTCCGGCAAACGCGAGAAAGCTGCGATCGTGATGTGAAATTTCTCTCACTCGAGCAAACATAATCTTATTCTTGCCGGGAATACTCTTATATGTGATCTAAAGAGGAGAGTCGTCAAAAAAGAAAGATATTCTAACAGCAAAAGGAAGAACTCTAGTTACAAGTTGATACTTTACGGTAATCCCACATTCTAGACGGAAATTTTTATCGAAAGAATATTTTTCTTGTTAACTATTATCAATCGGAGACATTATTCTGACTTTTCTTCTCCCTTGAATTAAGAGGGATATGTTTGCTTAAAGCAGAACGCTTTCTTCCCACAAAAAATGTCTATGAGAAATCCGTAGATGAAGAACGAAATTCCTCCAACTTTAAGAACAGTGTACCTTCCTTTCTGCTTTTGGAGCGACCCTTTTCAGGTCGGTACGCAGGATGAATTAGTAACCATCGCCATCCTGGACATCCTCAAGGCAGGAAACAAAAGACCATTAACCCTCAGATTCACGGAGCCATTCTACCCAGAAGGAAAGCTTCTAATGGTGATTGCGTTCTCTTCTCTGAGAAGAGTAACCCCGAAGATGCTCTGAGGATCACCCTTGTCTCTCGTCTCGGAGATAGCCACTGTGTCATTCTATATAGAACGATTTCCGCTAGAGGCAAGATTGTATTCTTTTTTGGATGATATAATATATCACATGGCTTGTCTCCATGCCGCGAATTCATTTTCTGCCGGGAATCCGGCTCTTAAGCATGTCCGCGGATTAATTGACAATGACAGTCGCACGGTGATCTTTTCTTCTCCTTTATGGGCGAGCTCGCAAATCCACGAAAGGAAATAGCACGACGACGGCGTCGCGCAGCTACGCGGAATACGAATAGGCACACGGGACACGGAAGGGAGGAGGGGGAAATTTGTTAATCTGTTTACCCTGTAAATACGTCGAGAAAACCGTGGGAGAAAGAGAGAGAGGGCGGAGGGGGAGGGAGCAGTGCTAATTAGATGTAATTACTAGCGCCGGCACGCGAAGCTGTATCATATGTAACTTGCGACACTTATTAACGCGGCGAGACCGTGCACGTGTGTGTAATATTATGGTAATCGCGAAAATAATACCGCCGCGATGGATTAGTACGCATAAAGTCACCGCGTCCCCGCGTATCGATTCGCCTCCGCAACCGGAGGACGACGCGCCCGCCCGCCGAATTCTTTCGCGAGACGTCGCATGATTTCACAAAAGTTCGACTGGACGAATCAATTTCCTGTCAAGCACGAGTGATGCAGAAACTTCGATTCAAATCACCGAAATTCTGCTCGGGTTAACCGAAAATCTTGATGGTTCAAACCGAATTCTAATAATTTCAACCGGAATTTCTGAGTCATTCGTTTCATTGGAATTGGAAACTAATGTAACCAAAATTTCCTTTTTCCGCATGAATATCTCTTAAGGACTTTTTTCCCGCAAAAAGTCACTGAAAATTAGAAATACGTTGGTATTTCTATTTTTCGTGTGAAAACGTATCAAGCACATCCATAGAAGATATATAATTGGGTTACAACATTTTTTTAACGTCACATTTTTATAGTCCATTTACTTTACTTTATATCCTTTCTGACTTTTAAACTTTTATCTCCGAATCAGAATTAAATTTATACATTATCCTGAATGATGCACTCAAAGTGCATGTGTACAAAAATTGAAATTTTTTTCGCTATTTTTTAATTATTTTTTTTTCCATTTACTATATATAAAATTCATATATTTTCATAATAGCACGGGTTAAAATATTCAAGTACCAGAATAGCGTCAAGTGATGTTTTAATAATGCATTAATGACATCCTTAATGTCAGTAATACGTCACTTGACGTCATCCTGTTTTTAATATTTAAATTTCAACATGGAGTAATTTTCGATTCAGGCTCTGAATCAATGTTAAATTGTTTGTGATTTCTTTTAAATTTAATTTAAATTCGTAATTTTTTCTAAACTTCAATTTTTTTTAGATATAGGCAATACGTCCTTAATATTGAGCGAACGCACGATTATTTTATGGAATTTGAACGCGACGTCATGCCAAACGCAACTTCGTCGGAAAACTTGGACAAATTTTTCGAAACTCATCGGCGCGATATCG